GGATGGGAATCACCCTCTTTTTGGAGTTAATGTTACTCCCTTTGAGGAGTAAAAATATGAGAGTAAATATTACTCCAGAAAAGGAGTCGTTCTGTACCTATTTTATTAACTCCACTTTTGGAGTTAAATTGACTCCTTGAAATTAACAGTGTAGATGCACCCTTGCAGTATTATTGGTTTACAAGTTTGCTGCCCGTTCCATAATGGAAATTAATTTAAGATATATACACATTTATATTTTATTTATATTGTTTATTAATTTGTATAGAATGTATAGAATGCATTAATATTATTTAATATACTGTAGTTAATACGACTTTTCATGGATCTCGACCTGCTATGTAGGCCCTCTTTAGGCTAGACGCGCTTAGACGGTTGGAAGCAACGATCGAAGAAAAACGGTTAAGCAAGCCAAGGACTTCGCTAACTTCCATTCCTCAGTATTAAAATCCTTCCATTGATGGTACTACTTAATATACTGTAGTTAATAGAATAAATATTGCATATATAAAAATTAAATAATTTATTCATATACATTTTGTCGTTATATATTTATATTGTTGCCATATATTTATTATATATTTATATTTATTATTACCAGTATTAACAATAATAATGTTTAATATGTATAACGACTAATGAAAAATGCATATTTATAACACTAGACTTGATCATAGGTAACTATCACAAGTCCAGCTGCAGGTTGTGTGTTCGATTCCCACACGATCCACATGGTTGGGGCTGAGGTAAGAAAATTTATGATTAGGGCATCTCTAGACGGCCTGAAATTACACTCTCGCACTTCAATTTGAATATATTTTTCTTTTTTTTTCTTAAAAAAATGAAGGGGGGGGGGGCTTGATTCCACCTCTGATCAAAACATTCTTTATCCAGAATAGTCATAATCACGAAAAATGGACATGAAAAACCAGATCACATCCTAAAAACAAAGAGCAGTCATAAGACATACGGTACATCAGGAGCCGACTCGATGGAGTTTAATGTCATGCCAGGGAAGGGCACAGATCTGTTTTGAAAGGTGGAGAGGGGGGCATTTTGTGAGTCGACACCCACCTCAGCCCCATAATGGTTGGAGCTGAGGTGAGAAAATTTGAGGAAATAGTCCCTCTAGATGGCCAGAAATGACACTTTTAGTAAAAATCCTCATCATCATATCACCATTAGTCAAAATTAAGCGCCAAAAAAAATTCTCACGATCTTTTATCAGGGATTTTTGACAACCATAGGGATCTTATTATTGTGTGTGTGATATACCACAGAAAACAAAGCTTAAAAACATTGTATTTGAGTGTGTACTTTACATAGGCCTACTTCAAAAACGTGATTTCACAACCACCTCAGCCTCACCATGGCTGGGGCTGAGGTGAGAAAGTTTTGGGAAATAGTACCTCTCAAGATGGCCGGAAATGACACTTTTATATAGTAAAATTCATCATCATCATATCACCATTATAGTCAAAATGAAACGCCGACAAATTTTTCATGAGCTTTTATCAGGGATCTACTTAATATCCAGGACAACTTAGGCCTAACTATAGCTTACTAAGCTTTAACTATATATACTATATTATGATCAACAAATCACAACTTTCTTTTTGCATTTAGCACAATTTTCTTCACTTTTTATTGCTATTAATATTATTATCAATTATTACTATCGTCATCATCATCATCATCATTGTTATTATTATTATTACTATTAGTAGTATTATTTTTAATCAAAAATTTAAAGAAACTTGGAAAAGGATAAAAACGAAATTGAACTACAGTATCGCATTTCTATCTTAAAGACCCGCCTGAGATTTATGAATTTAAGATTTTTTTAAATCACTCTTAGGCCTATGTATAACGTGTACTGATGCATATTTACATGTTTTAGAAGTATTCATTTTGAGTGATCCAAGGAAAGAATTTGTATTGGCTCAAGAATAAGCTTTAAAATTTTAACACTGTGTACAAAGGGAGGGGGTGGGGAGCATCGGCTCCCACATTGTCAACCACGCCCCCTCAACGTCAACTGGCAGTTTACAAAGCACGTAGACGCTAACTCGTGATTTTAGTTAATTTTACCCAGAACTGAGTAAATGCAGTAACGTATTTTTCGGTAACGTTTGTTTTATTTTGATTTCATCGTGTGTTAAAAATATTTTGCAATAACCGAAGCCACCTATAATGTATTACTTGAAAAACAGATATAATGCTATTACATACACCCATAGCTCACATGCATCAACCGTTTTATTTTTGTATACGGTGGTAACGTAGGTTTCATTTCTTAACTATCCGGGCCACAAAACATAATTCTTTTAATTTTTTTCTTTACACTGGTAACTCATAATGACCCAAAATCTACCTAGGAAGTCAAAACTTAGTGACTTATATTAATGATGAATAATTCATTTTTAATTGAGTATGCATAATGAAATGTCCAACTTTATGGCCTGGTAACGTATGTTTCATCAATTGTTGCGACACGATAGACTTGATAAAAATATATTCTTAAAGGAATGTGATCATGTTGATTATTTTTTTGCTTGTAGGCAATACACTAACTTTGTTATATTAACTGATTTTAAAGTGACACACCTCCTTATTTTTAAACTATATATCAATATATTTAATTTTAGTGATTTGCGACATCAGTTTTTTGTACTGTTTACAATATTTAATGAACCACAACTTCAAAAGTAATCGTATCTAAATGCTGAAATTTCAGGGCATTCCAGCTTTACATGTTGTTACCATGTTTTAAAAGTGATATTGGTCATTACTTTCGTAACTTTTGCTACATAATAATTAAATTGTTTGCGACACACTTTTTAGCTAATTGGTAAATTTTAGTGGTTTTGTTAGACTTTCAGTAGCCACAAAAACAGAACGAATTATTGGTCTCTCAAATCCAGACACTGTTTATAATACAGTACAGTATAAATTTGTTTAAAAAAGCCCTAAAATGCGACTTTAATATGAATTTGTATGTATAGGCCTATATCCTAATATTTTGCAAATCTTGGGATTTGTTAAGCTATCATGGGATTTTTTAGACTCAATCTTGGGAATTTTGATTTTCCCCAGTGGTCAAACTGCCATATGTGTCACATGTGTCGGGTGCGATGGAAAAATCGGAGTAGAACTTAGCTGGGGGAACGAAGTAATGTTAGGTGATAAGCAATAGGATAGGATGGGAGTAATTTTGGTGTGAATTACACCAAGAAAAACCAACAAGTCCGAAGACTTGTTTCCAATGGGGTGAATTCCGGGGCGGTACAACGGCAGACAATCCACTACTCTTTTCCGAAGAGTATATACTTAACGTGCACATGGGCTATATATATTGCTCACGGGACCAACCCTTAGGTAGGCCTATCCTCTTAGGTACCTTACGCCACTGCTCAAATTAAGCCTCAGAGATCCAGCCCGTTGAGCGAGTGAAGTGTACAACATTAAAAGTTAAAAACAAACCGTCCAATGAAGCGGCGAATCTATCATTAAACAAGATGCGAGAGAATGGGTCGTGGAGGGAGGGGTGGGGGTCAGGAGAACTGAGGGAAGCACCCCCCAATACGATAGAAAATGTGTTTATTGTTGATGATAGAGAGGGCAGGATTTAGATGAAACATCAGGATGACTAGTGTCATTGAGGACACCCATTATGAGTAGGCCTAAGTGAAGAGGTATTTCAAATTATATACGAATATAGTTCATGGTAGTGAGACTACACCAACTGAAACTTGACAAAGGGCAATACAGTGTTTAACACGTATATTAATATTATCTAAAAAAAACTGTACAGGTAAAATTTCTGAGGTTTTTATTATAGGTCTAAGCGACCGATCAATGAAAATTAATTGTATTGATTTAAAAGCTTGTAAATATTATGCCATGATATCGGAATGTATTTTCACACAGCAGCAAGAGACTATTACCTCAATTATTAAAAGAATATAAGGTCTCCCTGTAATTAATAAAGCTCCCTCCATTTAAACCCCACTTTTCTGCAGGCCTGTTTTGAATTATTCAACGGAATCTTTTATTTTCATGATAAATATTTTTTTTCAAATTATTGAGACCAAAAATTCTAAAAATCATGAATTACCTGTTCATTGCCTGTTCTTTAATTAGAAGGAGAACTGTAATAACAAAATCGGTAAGAAGATTACGTATTTCTAATAATAATCATAAAAAATCATGACTTTAAATAAACAACCAATAGAAAGGAAGGACTATTACAGACGATTTACGATTGGCTGAAATTTTTCATTCATTCAGCAATTTCCACTGAACTCTCTCTACGCATGCGCAGTAAGGTGACCGCTTTGCGTATAAAAAGGTGTTACACACGAGATGTTTAGAATCAGATTGTGCACGAGGTGATAATTATTAATACTAGCAATTTGAGAAGTTTGTCGTTGATTGCTACTTTCTTGTGTTCAGTTTATTTTTGTAAGTATCTATGTTTTAGTTTAGTACGTAGATAATTTTAGATTTGCCAGGGTTAACCTGGACTGTGACTTAAGTCTACTCTAGGCTAGGCCTAGCCTACCTAGTTACGTGTCTGTATATGTAGCTTAATTCTCAATACACGCCGCGGGAGAAATGCGCTTCGCATCGATGGATACGATCAATATGAGAGTAGAAACTGATGTGTTTAGGCCTAGCGTATCACTTTGTTTTCGTTTATTATGAGCTCACTCTTTATAGCAGCCCTAGTCCAGATTGGAAATCAATTACAGTAAAAGAAAAGTAAGCAGATGGCTGACTGTGTCGTTAGTTGGTTGAAGTTGATCCATGATTTTCTTTTTTATTTTTTTTTGTTTTGATAAGACTAAAAAAAAAAAAAAAAATTCTCTTCCAGGATTTGAAATTATTTTTGGTGATATTTACTAGGCAATGGTAAAACTGGTGGGTAGATAATAAAATTTGCAAAAATACATGTAGGCCTCCTAGACCCATAGAGTAGGCTAATGTATTTTTAGCCATTTAATTATAATGTTTCCACCTCTTCTTAATTATTTTCCATGGTAAAAAATGATTGTCTTTACATTTATAGAAATAATATCGTATATAGTAGCAGATGTTGCACCCCCGGAAACTAAAAATTAGGGAAACTAAGGGGCTAATAGAGTGCACCCCACCACCCCCCTCCCCCACCAGCACAAAATGTTGAAAAGTTTTTTCATGGATGCATCCTGATATTCCAAGTGTCAGTAATACTTCTAGGGAACCCTTTGGACAGTGAGACATCACTGATATAATCGGTGAACAAAGGAAAAATTGACACTGAAATTCTCAATTATTGGTACCAAAAAAGTTCCTAATTTAGCAGTTTTGTGTATTTTGTGCTTCTTAGCTAAAAATTCTGGAAAATTTGTCAAAATTTAGGAGACAGGGAGAATACATGCAAATTCTGGAGACTCCCGATCAAGTTGGGAGGGTTGGAACATGTATTATCCATAAAAAATCTCCTAAATGACCTTGACCTTACTTTTTAGGTTACCATTCAGTTTACCTAGGACTGGGCCTACATCCTGTTACCCATACTCATACTCTTCTACCATCATTTTATCAAGGATGATATGATACAGTATATAAACAGTTTAATTCAAAATTATCCTTAAAAGCCTGCTTGATTATGGATTTTGATGGTAATGAATTGTCCATGATACTGATCCCTTTGTAGCATGCCTTTACCACGCTTCCTGTGACTCTGTTAACATTCACTTTCCACTGGGATGTGCTGGTACTATGTAGGTTCACAGTTATTTACCAAAAAACTATACAGCATGTCCGTTGTGGTTTAAGCAATTGTGTGGGTACTCTTTCTACATAGTATATTACTGTACAGTATTGAAATATTAATATTAATATTATTATCTGTTAAACAATGCATCAATTTTAAATAATTCTATGTTTTACTAAGTAAATAAGTTAAGGGTAACATTAACAGGTTTGTTTATATTGTTTATTTACAAAATTTGAATGAACTGTTTGATCCTATGTTTTTTTACTTTCATTCATCTGATGAAGCTAGCGAAAGCTTGTGTCTCAATAAACTTTTTTAGTCTAAAGATGGTGCTACTATACTAATTTCATTTGATTTCATTAAACAGGTTAGTGATATTGCTAGTGCATCAATTTAAAAAATTGTCATGAAAATTTATGATTTAGATTCAATATAATTTATGTAGTGTATTGATAGTGTATTGGTTTAATATTGAAATTATTACTAATTTAGAATCGTAATGTAAGTTTGTAATAAAGCGCATATTTGGTTGTTAAGTTTGAATGACAATCTGAAAGATTCGTAGTAACTATGACCACATTTCACCTGTTATGGTATAGCAAAGTTTGGCCTCGAAATCTTAAGCTCAGTGGGTTGAATCTCTCACTGTGCATGTTACTTAACAAAACATGCCCTGGGCAAATCACTTTATCTGTGTTTCTAGGTACTTCGGAGAATGCATTAAATGTATTCTGCATGCAGTTGGTTGTAGTAGGACTGGTTGTAATCCCAAGTTAGTGTAGAGAGTTTATTTTATGGCCTTTTGCCAATTATTGATCCAATGTTCAGGAGTACAGTAATAATAATAACATCGCTAGCCCCTTGTTTTTCTTGATAACAGACATGATGCGTGCTGTAGGCCTATTATTATATTTTGAATTTTTCTTTTAGTAATTTAATATGTAACCTTTATATTGCAAGTTCTCAACATGGTTAAGATTGGATTAATTTATTTATTTCAATTTACATCACAGTAGAATTATTCTTAATGGTACAGTCTGCACAAAATCTGATTTAGTGTTTACCAGCATTAACTGATTTGAAAAAGCTGGCAATGAAAAAATTAATAATTGAAGTTATCTCACCACAAAATAAACATAAATTAAATTTCCTATATTTTTTGGCATAGACCACAGGTGGGCAAAGTGCGGCCGGCAGGCCAAATGTGGCCTGTCAGTGATTTGTGTGCAGCTCTGGCTAAAAAACAACTTGTTTTTTACACCAATTATCTGTAAGAGTAATATTAAAACTGAAGGTATTCAAACTGAGCATAGAGTGGTACAGTATACCTGTAAAAGGTTTTTAAAGCATCAGAGTTTGGGTGCGGCGCTCAATGTTAAATCAAAGATTCGCTTTGGTCCTCCGAAGCATTTATATTCCCACTCCAACATGAAACTGAATTATTCTGATATGTGTTTTTGAATTTCAATATTGTTTTCTCCATCATTAATAATTATTTCAGTCAGTAAATGCACTTAAATAGAAAGTAACCAAGTGAATATTTTATTAATGTTTATTTGCTGAAAATTTGTTATCTTAAGTAATGGTACTGTAGTATGCTATATCAGTTTTTTCATCATTGGTTGAGGAAGTAGACAGGAAATCTCAGGTGTTAGGCTTTCACCTTTCTTTCCTCATGTGCTGAAAAGGGGGCATCAATGATTAAGAACACACTAAGTATTCATTAGCAGAGATTTAATAGTGCGAATTGCTTTCCCATGACAGTCTTGTCTATGGTTCTTGTGCAAGCCAGGATTTTTCATACTGTGCTATGTTTCCTTGTTTTCTTCCAGTTCTTGCACTATCATTCAGCTCCATATTTGCTTGTTTCTTCTATATCTTTTTGCTTTTGCCTTGTAATCTTTATTTCTTCTGTTTGCAATGTTTGTACAGAATGTCTTTTTCTGTCTTGGGTACATACTGTAGAACATCATCAATCCAGGTAATGCATTTGTAAAATAATTTTACTCTATATATTTTCCGCTAACAGATTTACTGAGACGAGAGGGAAAACTGAAGCAGATGACGTCGGCAGCAAATCCTCTCGGTGTGCTGGACTTTGTGGTTATAAGTGTCATGCTAGTAATAGCGGCCGCCACTGGAATCTACCATGGGTTTGTTAGGGGTGGCCAACAAACCACGTCTCAGTAAGTTCATGTATAAAATGTTCATTTTATTCATAATTATACATAATTCTACCAGTGTTGATTACCGTATATTCTCATATAAGGCGATCCATGTATAATACCCTTTTCACAAACTAGTAACAAATTGTAACCAGGTTTGTGTAGTGTGAAAGCAAATTCATGTAAAAATGTTCCATAATATGGCAGGGCACCCTTGTAAGAAAAACAGGCCTCGCTAAGTCCTGTTTATTCTTCCAAGATGTCTCAAGTTATTCAGTGTGCATGCATTCCTACGGCCACCAGGCAACGGAAAGCAAAACATGTCGTGCGCTAAGACTACCCTAGGTATCTGCAATAGGACTACTGCTATTCCCCCGAGATTGTTCATGGTTTTGATTACTGTGTGTGTCAAACGAACAAAATATCTTGAGATCAAAGTTGTTAAAGCTTGTTACTAATCGTTAAAAGTTGAAAGATTTTCTGTTATCCCTGAAACACAAGGACAGCAACAAAGGATTTGAACTTGGGACATAATGCCTGAAATGACCTCCATGGCTCAGTGTTCACAACCGGCTTAACAGTTTAGCTGACTGAGCTACAGTATGCTGGTCTCTTTAATTTTACTATTAGTGGTTTCTATTTCTTAAGTAAAATCCAATAGCATTTTGCTAAATATTTTGATCATCATACATTATAGCTGCAATTTGTTGTTTACATGCAGACCTCTTCCCCTGTGATTGGCTGTTGGACATTCATAGGAAGAGGTAGCTTTATAGAGTATCCTGTCTGTTAATATTAACAATAAAGCAATTGCAGATTAACATTTTTTTTTAAGTTGTTCGAGTGGATGGATCTGAAAGACCTTGGCAGTGGACATTGTAAAGGACCTGAAATTTGGATATCAAAACAAATTCTAATTAAAGTGCACACAGTGAGCCACTATAGCACAAAGAGCAGTGTAATTAGACAAAGTTCAGATTTATTGTAAATGCAAAAATAAATATGAGGTGGAATTAATTTGTTCAGCCCCACTAAAGGGCAGTATTTGTCAAAAAAGCATGTAAAAAGCATGGTAAACTTTTTTTTTATAGATGAACAAAATAAGAAGAAATTGAGGCTGAGATAAAATCTCAATGAGATTGTTAAAAAAAAACTAGAAAAACCAACAAATTAAGCTACAGTATAGTCACATACAGTTATTTTTGGTCTTATGTACTGTACCATGAGCAGTTGGTGTGACTGTAATAACTTCTATAATACAGTACAGTGCTGCTATACAGTAATAATTTTCTATCTTTTAAAATATGTAAATAAGTACAAGACACTGAAATTTTACTGGTTAGTGCAGTGTAGGTTAGTAGCAGGGCATACAGTAAGTACTTCAGAGGTATCAAACCCCAAAATGACCAATATTGCACTTTCCTCGGTCTAACCTATGCAGAATGAAAATTGGGCTACTTACAAGCTATGTCTAATGTTTACCGTAATTGCCATAAGGTGTTAATCTTAAACTAGGGTCAAAATTATTAGTTTGATTAGTAATTGATCATGCTATGTTTGCTAAGTTAAATTATGGTTCACTGCTTAAGGCCAAACAAAACAAAATGTCATCAGCCCTGGACATGTGAACTTCTTAATATTAGCAGCCCAAACAAATAAGGAGTGTTTACACTTACTAATTGTCTACTCTAGCCAATTGCCGACCCTGGCCAAATCATAAGTGTGAATGACCGCTATATAATTGTAAGAAAAATCCAACAAGTTGGATATAGCCCCCTCAGCCAACCCTCCCAGCACCACCACTGCTGCTCAATTCAGTACCAGAAGGACCCCACTACAAATATGATATTATAGTCAGGCTCCGGAGGAAAAACATTTTTTGATATGTTGTAGAACTGATTTTTCTAAGACAGAAAAATGTTGTTTGACGAAAAACTGGGGAACGGTGAATGAGATACAGATTTTTTAATATTTAAAAACTGGGGGAAAAAGGGGAGTAACTGCCCATTTTTACACCTTATTCCCCCAGTTTTTAAATACTAAAAAATCTGTATCTCATTCACCGTTCCCCAGTTTTTCGTCAAACAACTTTTTTCTGTCTTAGAAAAATCAGTTCTACAACATATCAAAAAATTTTTTTCCTCCGGAGCCTGACTTTAAGGGTTATTGGTGTGTTTATTACACCAAAGAAAACCAGCAAATCAACAAAATACAGCCCAATGGACCATTCATACTAAGCCCCTCCCCTCGGATATTGTTGCTAACGTATGCACTGTGCTTTTATAAACATAACCATTTCTTTTCAAGGTTCCTTGTGGCAGATCGGAGCATGTTTAGCTTACCAATCGCAATGACATTACTGGCTTCATTCATCTCACCGGTCACGCTGCTCGGAACGCCTGCAGAAATTTATGTTAATGGCGGTCAATACATGATGTTCGTTTGTTGCCATCTTCTTCTTTATCCATCCATTGCATTCATCTTCATTCCTGTTTTCCACGGTCTTTCCATAACTAGCGCTTATCAGGTAAATGAGAGATTAGGTCCGTGATTTTGTGGTTATGTATGTTCCAGGATTTCATTCCTACACTGTATTTTTACATAGATTAGGACATACAAATAAGTACAAAAGTTGAGTGTCCTGGTTTTTTAAACAAGGATTTAAGAGGTCCTTCTTATTTTTTAATATTTCTTCAAGATGATAATAATAATAAATAATAATATTATTATTATTATTATTATTATTGTTATTATTATTATTTAATAATGTAAGTCTTTTATAGCGCATAATACAGAAAAGTTGCCTCTATGCGTTTTAAATACATGAAAGCCAACGTAGTTATTATGAATGGCTGACGACACTTGATTGCTATTTAAAGCTTTCTCCAGATTATCAAATTTTCTTTGCCAAAAAAACATGAGTGCCCATATATAGTCATGATATGCCTATATATGGTCTTGATGTCATGTCATCACGACCATATTTAAGTTTGTCAAATAAAATAGTATTGTCTAGACAGGGCTTTACATGTTATGTTACTTGCTTTTTTATGTAAGGATTGGGGTGAAAACAACTCTAATAATCCATATATCTCTTGAGGAGGCTTAGCCTCAACTCTTGAAATTCCTCAAACATTAAATTAAAACATTGACTTGCTCACTTAAGCAGATCAAATATGTTATATATTCCCATTGAGACAGATAAAAACAATTTAATTTCCAAATATTTGCAGACGTTCTACTACAAAAATTATTAAATTGATAACACAGCCAGTTTAAGGGTACCTGTAGGCAAAAACAGACGATCAAATTAATTAACGTCCTGTTTCCTCAATTAAATATTTAAATTAGGGTTTCTAGATGTTAGTTAAAGCTAGTAATGGGATTTTTTTTAATTTTTTTTTTTTACTGTTATTCTGTGAAGCGTATCTATAGCATTAAATTTTGGCATATGTTACTGATCGATTTTGATAAAAACATGTGTTTTGGAAAATTGGAAGTGTTGTTTAGCAATAGGCCTAATATGATTATCAAGTCTCCCAGAGATCAGTACAATCCACTGCACTTGTGCAAGAAAGCCCGGAAACTAATCTATCTCCCACAAATTCAGAATGTCTGCATGTTTTTACTACTGTTTGAAAACTCAAAACCAGATTTTCCAGAAGTGGCTGCTCTTAACTTGGGATCCCTCCCAAGTGTAAGATTCCAAAAGCTAAGTCTTAGAGCAAGCTATTAAACATAAAACCTAACAAGACCAAAAGAGGACCTCTGTTGTTTTGGTAACTAGGTTATAGTACTAAATCTCTTAGGTTTATTTTGGGCATTATGCCTATTTTATCTTTAGTAGTAGATCTTATTTTTGATTTTTTAATTAAAGTAGGTCATATTTTTTAGTATTGTACCCTACTATATGTTCAGGAGTCATCCATTTTTTCATCATTTTCATAAGAGTATAAAAAAGCCCCTCTCTTTCTCTCTCTCAGAAAGAGTACAATAATAAAATGATTTTCTTTTTTATTTTCATAAAAGTGTATATTTTGCCTACACTTTCAACCTCCTCCCCACCCCCAAGCATATGTTTTGTAATCTTTTGAAAATGTTGAAAATTATGGATTGTTTTAAGTTTAGTATATAATTCTCATGTTTAGTAGGTTCTCTTAGTAGGTCTTATGTTTAGTAAAATTTTAAGTTGTTTTTTAAAAAAAGATTTTCTGTCTATCAAAGTGCTTTAATGAGAGTTTTTTTGTAATCTGTTTTTCATTAATTTTTTTCTACATACAGTATCTTTATCACCGTTTTGGAACTCCTTTAGAGATGCTGGGTGCTGGCATCTTCATGTTCCAAACATCTTTCTACATAGCAATTGTTCTTTTCACACCCGCATTGGCAGTGGAGGCAGGTAAGTGTTTTGTATTTACATCAAAATTTTCTAAATTTACATAAAATGCAGTGCATCCTTCAATTAGAGACCCATGTAATCCCTAAGACCCCTCTAATTAATAATAATAAATAATAGATATGTTAACCAATCTCCAGCAGGAAACATTTGGCACCAACTAAATGAAGTTGGTACTCAGACTATAAATGTGAATTAAAATGCATTGTACCATAAATATAAACCATGAAATTAAAGACCACTTTTTTTAAAGAACCAAATAACAATATGCAATCTATTAATAGAATAACCTTCTATGTGCAGGCCGAACCCTGAGACCGCCCCAAATTTTCAGGTTCCAACGTGGTCTCGAATTGGAGGGCAAACTGTATAACACTAACACTGAGGATAATCGGTCAACTTTGTTCATATTTCTCGATGCTGACTAGAACTAATTTGTATTCTGTTTATCGAATGTATGAATTATTCTGATTTTGATGCTATCAACATTGAGAATTACGATATATAGAATTTTTCATGGCCTACATACTCTTAAAAAGCTAGGCATGATGATATTTTACCAGCTTTGTGTTCGAAGTTTGGTCAAAAAGTGGATAACGTGCAAATTTTGCGCTACTATTTTGACACAACTGAAGTTCCCTTTTTTGATGTTTGTAAAGAAGAATCTCGCAAACCTCAAACAAATTTTACCAACCCAAACTTGGTTTATGACCCATAGTGTAAAAGATTGTAAAATGAATTATATAAAATAGAATGTAAAGAATTACTGTAGTATGTATTTAAATGTACATTTCAAACTTTTTCAGTCACTAATTTTGCGTTTTGGAAAACAATTCTGATTGGAGGTGTTGTTTGTACATTTTATACATCTTTGGTGAGTTTTAAGCAGATTTATATTTAGAAAGGTTTTGTAGTAGCTATAGATCACCTTTATCTGAAATTTTGTGAAATGTATTGATTATATTGATAAGGGAGCAATGTTCTGTTTATAGCTAAAATTCCTCTTCATTCTAAAATGCTGAAGTTGCTATAAAATACATTATTTAATTTTTTATAAGAGAACACACTTTCCCTGGCTTAATATTAATTATAATGAAGGTGTTTTTGCAGTACCTTAGCACAGTTAGGACTACCCTTACAGGAATTTAGTGTAAACTTAATTTGATTAAAATTGATTGATGTTTTAAAGGCTTTTTGAGTCAAAAATACTGTAGAATAGCTATAGATCCCCTGGGTTCTGAAATGTTGCTAAATGCATTTATTATTAAAATTTTAATAACTTTCAATAGGGTGGGATGAAAGCCGTGATCTGGACTGACGTATTCATGTTCATTGTAATATTTGCTACCACCATGCTTGTTGTGACTTTTGGTACGATTGAAGCTGGTGGTATTGACCACATTATTGAATCAAACCTTCAAGCTGACAGATTGGATATGTTGCAGTAAGTTTTTATTACTGGGTTTTTCTAATTGTTATTGTTATCACTAATCATAATTATCATCATTGTTATTGTTGTTATTAAATATTGTTATATAAAATATTCTCTTGTTAAAAGAAAAATGTTAGCTTACTAGCATTTTCAGCATATTTCTTATTTAATTATTTTGTTAATGATAGTTAAATCAGTTACATAAAACTGATGATGATGATGATGACATTGATGATGATAGTGACAATGACATTATGTTGTCAATGACGTTAACGATGTTGATGATTATGACAACAGTGATGATTGTATTTAGCAATGATATTTTAGTGGAGCTCATGGTTAAGTTTGAAATAAAAGAATGAAACAAACTCTGAAGCAACTGATGCAAGCCAACATAATCTAGTATTTCTCTTTACACAATCCGCCTTTACACACACTTAAATCTTAATATAATTTCTACTTAACAATTTGCACTGATACAGTGAGTATGTTATTGTTATAAATATGAAAATTTGATTAGATTTCCAGGAGACCTGACAGCAAGAATGTCTTTCCTGTCGCTGACGATTGGCGGTTGGATGAATGCCATGCCACTGTGGGCTATAAGCCAGACAGCAGTGCAGAGATTTCTCACAGCAAGAACAGTCAAGGATGCCCAAGTGTACGTGAAAATGCTTTAAAGTTTATATTATGATGCAGTTGTAGTTCTTTTGTCATTTTTTAATTATTATTTTTTATATTTCATATCAGTATCAGTTTGATTTTCATTGTTGTATAGTATTATAAGTTTTATAGAATAAAGTTACCTTTCAGAGTCGATGGCTTTTTTTCCTTGGCAGTACCTTCATTAGCTATCAAGTGGCAGTTCATACATTGTCACGTAACATTTGGTGCTGATATCCTGTAATTCCGCGACAAGAGGCTGTTGTAGACCGGCTTTATGTCGTATCTGCAATCGGGGGCCTTGCACTTGAATTTTGACGGCTTCTCATACTTATAAGTGTTGTTTGTTTAAATACATATTTATATAACAAACTCTAAGGGTAAACTGCGCCTGTGATCATTTCTGAAGTTGGTGCATGAAGCTTGGTTTCCATACAATCGCTACATGCTATCGCATCTGCTTTCGGTGCTGCTGATTGGTTTGTCGAATCAGTGAGCCTTCCTGATTGCGTCGTGGACTCCTACACTGTACGACGATTTCACGGATCACTCTGTAGCGACAGTGTAGCAATTTCATGGAAAACAGGCATTATAAATTTTTTATTATTATTATTACATGTTTGAACATTTTTTTCCCCAATTGAATTTATATGGTAAATGGATATAAATTTTTTTTTAATAACATTAATTATTAATTCTATTATTTCAGATCAGTTTTGTTGAATATCCCGATGGTTACAATAATCATTTTGTTTGTTGGTTACCAAGGACTTGTGCTGTTTACATTTTATGATGGTAAGCTTTTACCTTACTGTGACGGATGTGTCATGTATTTGATAATGTTTGTGACTAAATTCAATAGAATTCTTTTCCCTGCATTTGAGACTGCTTCCAATAAATTACCTTTCTCTCATGGGTTTGTTTATCAGAAACTGTTTCCACCAAATGAAATATAACAAAATGGCTGTTATTTCGTTATAAGTGTTTCGGAAACATGGACTTAAATGTATGAAGTAATCAATCAAAATGGAAATTTTATTGTTAATTAGCACTACATAGACAGGATATCTTTTAAAACACATCAACACCAGTGGCGGATCCATGTATTTGAAATAGAGGGGGCCCAGGGAGGGACTTTAACAGATGGAGGATTTAGCTAGACCACCTCGGCCCCACCATAGTTAAGGCTAAGGTAAGAAAATTTACGGGCTTGCTGACCCCCTTTGAATTCACCACTGAACACTTCACTTCAGTTTGATGAAGTGGTGTTTTTTTGCTCAGTTACACAGAGTAACTACAACTATATATTGTTATAAATTCTCTCATTTTTTTTATGATGCTATATATTTTATTTTATTTAAATGATTTTTGAAAATAAGCCAACATTTCTCTCAACTTATATTGCCAAAAATCATACAATCAAAACTATTTATTTGTGAAATTCTTATAAAATGATTATCAATCATTGTGTCTTTTCCCTTTAATTTATAGATATGGCCTTTGAAAACACAACAGATATGATAAGTAAGTAGTAGTTTTATTTCATGTTGCTTTCAATATAATAAAATATGAAAAACTGAATCTTATTTAAATATTAATTACTAGTATATTTATGGATTAAGCTGGTACAGCCATTGCAGTTGCTTTAGAGCAATGTTTGATTTTCACCCTTTCCATTTTCCTGTCATTTCATTTACGGTTATTAACTTTCTGATCATTTTGTATAGGCCTACTTTGTGGTAGTCTGGCTCCTTTAATTTGATTACTCCTATCTCTGTTCTAGTTCATTGGTCTTTTGGTTTGTTGCCATTTCGGTTATTGACTTTTTTATTCCTTTTTGTCATGACTTGAAAAAAAAAAAATTCTTTAGGCGTTTGCTTTAGTGAGTAGAGAAATAATGTAATGCACTTGTCAATTGTAGTTCCCATAACGGGGCACTAGCCGGGACTGAGACAGGGACGTACACATAGTTGTGTCCCAGAAGTGCCGCGACGTACCTAAAATTTACCCATAGATGTAACCGGCTTCGAAAGTGCCGACAGTTTTTTCGTAAGCAGAGTTGCTGGGGCTTTGGGTATTGGCCTAATGCTGTCAAACTGGGTCTTGTCCTACTTAGCCTACAGTAGCCCTAGGCAATCAGCAATTGCTGACATGTGTGTTTTGGTAATTAAGAAATCGCCCATCGGTACCCTAGGCCTACCATCATAGTTTCATTTTTTATAGATCACATATATAAATGTATAATGTGTAATTACATAATAAAATTTGAACCACCACCACACAATGATGAGGACCACGAGGTGACGTGAGTGTGTTGCGTGAAAATTTGTGAATTGTGTGTTTGACCTAGTTTGCGTCAAAAAATACACCAGTGAGCCAAGGCAAGGAAATCTGTTTCTAATTCTGTATTAATTTTCTTATTTAATTTCTGTTTTGATACTGAATAAATTCTATCAATCAGTTAAATCAATCAATTTCATTTTCTATGATCAATCAACACACTCCTTTTTGTTCGCACTTTTCTAAACTTCCATGGAAATCTGTCTACAGTAGTATTGGTAATACGCATGCGTAGTGCTTCCATCAAGCAAGCTCATCTCCTTGGCCTAGCTCCTGTCTAGCTCTCACATGCCCCGATTCAGACATACCTAGCTAAACCTTCAAGTAGGCCTTATCGTCTATCATTCATTAGTGGGGCATTTTTCCGGGACTACAAAATATTTCCCGGCGGTAGGTGGCGGACACTTAGCCAGGGATGTACGTTAAAACGATACCCCGCGTTGCCAGGAGGTGGCGGGAACTTTCACATGCATGTAACCGTTTCGGAAATTACATTCCCAGCTAAGTCTCCTTTAGGCCCTGGTCCGGGGGAGCCGGGACTACAATTAACAAATGCCCCGGGAACTACAATTGACAAGTGCATAAAGTGTAAAGATGCTTGACTATTACGTTTTGTACTTTTATTATTATTTTTCAATAATTGACAGTATTATATTTCTCATATAGATACCACAGTGAGCAGTATGACAGGAGGTCCTAATATAACTAAGTCAGATCAGGTATGCAAATTTACTTTTTTAAATTTATTTTCTTATTATGGTTTGGTGGTTATGGTGCTTGCCTTCAAGTTCCAGGGTCCTGGGTTAAAATCCTGCAATATTGATGGAGTGGGGCTGTAGCTTCTGTAGTTTGGTGGTTAAGATGCTTGCCTTCCAATCCAGGGTCCTGGGTTCAAATCCTGTAACACTTCAGAATTATTTTTATCAAAATAAGAAGAATGTATGTATATAAGAAGATTAATAATATGAATTGACATTTGAGTTTGAGAATTGAGTTTATAATAATAAGTGCAAGGAGGCATTGGCTAGATACACTATATAAGACTTGATGTGTTACTATATAATTATGCTTAGAATTAATTTTGTATAGTGTTTATATAAATTCGTCTTTGCTCTTGGATGCGAAGTGAAGGAAATAATAAATAAAATTTGTACTTCATAAGATCAAAGTTATGGCAAAGCATTTCTGACATCAATCTAATGCCAACTAATGATTCATGCATCATAATATTCTTCCTGCAGATAATGGTGTATTTCATAAGTGAGCAGTTTGGTCATATTCCCGGCTTCCAAGGACTTTTCATCGCCTGTTTGTGGGCTGGAACACTGAGGTAAGACACTAAGACATTTTGTATTATATTAATTTCTGTAAATACAAGTTGTAATAAATGGTCACAATATACAGTATTATATGCAGTGAATACAATGCATGAATTTGTTTTGTTAACAGTTTCTGTATCACCAAAATGTCTATCTTTATTCTCAGTACTGTTTCTTCCGGCCTGAATGCAATGATCGCTGTTACGCTAGAAGATGTTATCAAACCAATTAGGAGGAATTGTTTACCACATCTTGAAGTTAGTGATGCAACAGACACAAAGATATCGAAGATCTTAAGTAAGTGAGAATTAATTATTAATTTAAAAAAAATCATATTTACAAATATAATAATCATTTTTTTCATCATCTTTAAGGAGTGTGTATCAGTGTGATACATTGCTTTCCATTGGGGCTTTTGAACAAGGCAGTTCTTTTTAATAATACAGAGACAAACATAAACACAAGTTTATTAGGAGTCTTATGGATTAAAGTTGGAGTTGGTGTTATGATAGGATTTGAACCCAGGACCCTGGGATTGGAAGGCAAGCATCTTAACCACAAAGTTACAGCTCCATTTTATTTATTTATTGGTTTTTGTTTGTTTGTTTTTTTGTTTTATTTTTGTTCAATATTTATATTTTCCGATTTAAAAAAAATCCGTAATATTTACTCAAATTTCATTTTACTTATACTGTAGGTATCTGGCAGGGTTAGAATGCCATTGTGAGCTGATTATTGGCTGCAACGTTATGAAATACATATGTGTTTCATATGGGTTTAATCCAGTTTAATAAATATGAAGTGACCAGATTAATAATATGAATTGACGTTTGAGAATTGAGTTTATAATAATAAGTGCAAGGAGGCATTGGCTAGATACACTATATAAGACTTGATGTGTTACTATATAATTATGCTTAGAATTAATTTTATATAGTGCTATATAAATCCGTCTTTGCTCTTGGATGTGAAGTAAAGGAAATAATAAATAAAATTTGTACTTCATAAGATCAAAGTTATGGCAAAGCATGTCTGACATCAATCTAATGCCAACTAATGATTCATGCATCATAATATTCTTCCTGCAGATAATGGTGTATTTCATAAGTGAGCAGTTTGGTCATATTCCCGGCTTCCAAGGACTTTTCATCGCCTGTCTGTGGGCAGGAACACTGAGGTAAGACACTAAGCCATTCTGTAATATATTAATTTCTGTAAATACAAGTTGTAATAAATGGTCACAATATGCAGTATTATTTGCAGTGAATACAATACATGAATTTGGTCTGTTAACAGTTTCTGTATCTCCAAAATGTCTATCTTTAATCTCAGTACTGTTTCTTCCGGCCTGAATGCAATGATCGCTGTTACGCTAGAAGATGTTATCAAACCAATTAGGAGGAATTGTTTACCACATCTTGAAGTTAGTGATGCAACAGACACAAAGATATCGAAGATCTTAAGTAAGTGAGAATTAATTATTAATTTAAAAAAAATCATATTTACAAATATAATAATCATTTTTTTCATCATCTTTAAGGAGTGTGTATCAGTGTGATACATTGCTTTCCATTGGGGCTTTTGAACAAGGCAGTTCTTTTTAATAATACAGAGACAAACATAAACACAAGTTTATTAGGAGTCTTATGGATTAAAGTTGGAGTTGGTGTTATGATAGGATTTGAACCCAGGACCCTGGGATTGGAAGGCAAGCATCTTAACCACAAAGTTACAGCTCCATTTTATTTATTTATTGGTTTTTGTTTGTTTGTTTTTTTGTTTTATTTTTGTTCAATATTTATATTTTCCGATTTAAAAAAAATCCGTAATATTTACTCAAATTTCATTTTACTTATCTTTTCAGCAATATTGTTTGGTGCTATGACAATAGGCTTAGGATTTTTGGCCACCAAGATGGGATCATTGGTCAACATGGCTAACTCTATATTTGGTGCAGCAGGAGGCCCTCTGTTGGCAGCTTTCACCCTGGGAATGTTTTGGAAACGTGCAAATTCAAGGTAGATTTTATTCCTCAAACTGTTCTATTCCAAGAGGAAAGGTTCTTCACAATATCACAATCTGATCACAAGATTGCATTGTCATAATAATAGAACACATGTATGGAGTTTGGTGAAGTGGAAATGGTTTGGTTTCTCAACCCTGAGATCGGGTTTTCAATCCTTCGCTGTGCATTTCGCTTGTCTACTTGAGCAAGGCACTTTATGTACATTGCTTCAGTCTTCCCAGCTGTATCAATCGATCACCCCGTCTGCAACCCCTTCCTGCATCCACCCCAGCAATTGCAGATCATAAGATGGTGATTAAACAGTGATCACACTATGATCACAGTAACTCATGGTGATTATATGAAATGATGCTAAAGAGAGTTGCCGGTTGAGTGTGTGAATGACTAAAAAAAAAGTGAAATGTAGGTTAACAAAAATCAACTTATTTTAAAGTTATATAATTAATATTATATTTCCAATAATTTACAATGGAATTTCCAATTTTATATCCCCAGAGGTACTCTGATTGGAGTCCTTATCAGTTTTTTCCTTGGTGTTACTGTGAGTGTCGGGGCTGCAGTGACCAAAACCGACCCCGATGCTCCCTCCATATTCAAGGTAAGTTTAGACATTTGGATATTTGTTTTATGAGTAATTTAACTGTATTTTAATTCATACTTATACCATAAAATGATGAGATGGTAGCCAACATAACGGTATCTTCCCTGTACAAATGCCGGTATCCATAATAAATTATTCTAAACTACAAGAATAGATTGTATGAGTTGATTAATACATTACTGATCTATTACCTTATGGTAGAGTCTGAAAAAAGAAACTTTCATTTGAAACATTGAATTGTCCATTTAAATGCATCAAATAATGGAGTGTTCACTTCATGGCCCTGTTCCTACCAACCCATCCCCACTTTACACAAGGATCGTATTGTTGAGTTTTTTAGAACTAATTCGACATCGCTCCACAGAATATTCTATTCTATTCTTGTGAATAGACTCAAAAAGAAATAATTTGTGAATGTAGAAAATAGGAATAATATTATTTATGTCTGTTAATTGGAGAAAACTATTTTCTGATCTTGATTTTAAGCTAATAACTTGCATATACAAAATTACCAATAAAATTTCAAATTTTCATGTAATGGATCATTCCTTTGGACGTTGTTGCTAAGGTACCACAAAGAGATAATGTGATTGGTCAGTTTTTAAGTTTGATTGACATTCTGGAAAGATCCATTCAAAGTTGCTAACATCTAATCTTATGTTTTTTTCCCATTTTCTTAGCTGTCCTTCATGTGGTATGCGACATTCACATGGTTGGTGGCAGTGTTCATAGCTGTGCCAGCGAGTGAGTTAATCCGCCTACTTGATCCGACTGAGCAGACTAAAGTTGTTGATTATTCATTACTAATCCCTTTCTTAAGGTACGTTCTCAATACATTATCATTTCTGGTATTTAATGCAGGTATTAAAAATCTATAGGGCGCCCTCTTTTCATTGAATTATGCAAATGCAGGGTATTTGATAAATACTGTAGGAATAATATTGGTTAAGAATAATTATAGGAAAAAAAACAATTTAATATCAAATAGATTGTATAGTATTTAAAATATAGAAAGCTTTTATATAAATAAATATTTATTTTACATTTTTCAGACCGAAGCTAGTTAAGACAACTGAAGATAATGGAGTGCGTATGGAATTCAAAAAACTGGATCAAAAAATTGCTGATATATGATAAAAAAGCAGTAGTAAGAAAGCTATAGCAATAGAATACAGCGTAACCCAATGCAAGTACAAAGAAATGTTTGTGTATATATAGGAGTAATTAAAAAACTTTAGTATAGTACAAAAATTTATGACTACAAATGTAAAATGATAATATTAGTGGCTATTTGTATAGCTTGAGTATCCATAAGGCTGATTGCTCAGTGCATGATCTATTAGCTAATTCCATAACATTCTTCATCCTTTAGGACAAAGAATGTTGTTTGTCTGTGCCAGAAACGTTTGTGTATCCACCACATATGTACCCCTAATGTACTTGAACAATATACACATACCGGGTTCCTTATAGTGCACGCAAGCCTATTGTGTACACGGGTCCTTGGCTTTTGTAGTTCTTTTCCGAGAAAAACTCGTTCCACCACAGAACAATAGAGTGGCAAACTCATATACAAAGCTTTTATTAGAAACCTTAAATGGAGATTTCCAATTAATAATGGGCATTATTAAGCCAGAATATAAGAACCATCACAAAATATTGTTGAAATAAATAGGCAGAATAAATTGTGCTACATAAATTGTAGATAATATTCATCCAGATTTATAATCAAATTTGGATTTAAAAAACCAGAATACTTTGTACAGTACTAAATTTCTCTCTTAAAGTATCAGGAGTAAGAGTGAAGTGTATTCCAATAAATTCGAATTAATTGCAAGTTAGGTAGATAAGTTATAATTATGTATTAGAAGGTATATATACACACAGTGAGAACAAGGTGTCCCGAAAGTCAAGTTTTTATTACAAGTTACGAAAGTATGGTTTTAACAGTTTGGAAAACTTCTGTTTTTATAATTTGGCAACACAGATAGCTGCAATGGAAAGTTTGATACCAAAATAATTCTACAAGTTTTATCTATCTAAGTGTGTTCTTAGTTTCAGATTGGAAAGGAGTTTACCAAAGATATGAGTTTATCCAACTCAGAAAAAATATAACAAATTTGGTGCTAAACTATCCCCTCGGTTTTCATTAATAACCATCAAAACAATGATGAAAATCATAATTTCTAGGTCAGAATGCCTCACCTTAAGGAGCATCATCGCCCGATCCACACAAAAGCTTTGGGCCTCTCCAGCGTGCCTAGGCACCTCTTGGTCTTCTGGCTGTCATAGAAAACCCATCTCTAGTAATGGACCCTTCCGTAGTGTCAATCAAATGACTTTACGTTTTGTGGGACTTTAGCAACAATATCAAAGAGGCTGGGCTTAGCGGATTGGTCCATTCTGGTTATAGGTATAGTATGTACAGTACACAGATATTCCAGTACAACTGGAATTGTCCATATTTAGACTAAAGTACAGTTACCTTATAAATATCTTGATTACATTTAACAATAAGGCAATTTGAAATCTGTTGTAACAGAATTAATTTGTTTATTTATAATTAAGTTTAGTTATTTTTTTAAATTTTGTATATATTGAGTTTTGCCGTCAACAAAAACGATATTCAATGAAAAATATGAACTATAACATAATTTATATATTCAATTATTTTTACTTTGTTTTATAATTAATTTTTATTTTGATGTCTGTTTGCATCAGTAGGTAATGTTTAATATAGTTAAGTGATATTTTTCCCTGCCTGACATTTTATCATATTGAATACTATGTATGTTCCCAAATACTTGCGAAAAAAGAAATTGCAATTGATTCAGTTTGTTTGCGTGTGCACAAAAACAATATTCAGTGAAAAATATGAGCTATGACATAATTTATATTATATTTTTAATTATATTTCCTATCAGTTATTAATTTTTAGTTATTAAATTGCTTATATACTGCTACTGTGGTAGAATTATTTGGAAAAAATGGGAAAAACACAACGTTTGCACTGATTTTTAATTCTTTAATTGAAACATTTAGTTAACTTTGTGGGATGCCAAATGTAGATTTTGAATTCTTTATATAGTGGTAGATACATTTTTGTGTATAAAAACTAAATCTAAAAACTGAAATTTGTTCTTATAATCATATGTTTATAAATCTGTAGTCTGAACTATACAGTTTTGTGCTATTTACATATTTTTTATATTATTATTTATATATTTATTTCTTTCATAAGTGTTTAAACATACTGTACACATTATTATTCATGCTACATTGTTTAAGTTAAATGGGGAACATCCATGCAAAAAGCTCATAAGAGAAACCCATTATTTTTTTCATTTACATACAGTGTTTTGATATTTTGTACATTTTTGAAACCAAATGCAATTATTGAAGCTAGTTTTGAAATTTATATTATTTACATCTCTCTGAAATTTATCAATTTATATTTCATGTTACATATTATGTACCTACTCATTATTCTGAAAGTTCATTTGGGTGTTCATCTTGTCTTTTTAAGAACCTTGAGTATCTGCTAGGATTGAATATTAGAAAAATTCCCTTGATTAAAACTGATATTTATGTGTCATTCAACCATGGGAATTTCTGTGTATATGGTTCTATTTTTTCAGTCTGTTTTCTCCCCATGAAGTACAGGTTATTGGGCACTTTCTCTCTAGACGGGGGTTGGGGGGGGGGGGGAAGAGTGGTCCTGTGTACCTATTGGCTCATGTGCATACAACCTTCAGAAGAGAGCAGGCATTGTCTCCCATTGTACCACTAGAGGTGTGGCTGCAAAAGTCCCCAGGAGCCCAGCCCGGATTTCTTAGTTATTGAGCTAGGCTTAATCTCAATGTGTAACTATTCTTCGTGCGATTGAGAGTTTATTTATCGTGTATTTGTACAGCAACCCCAAAATTTTCTCCTCATAAGCATAAATTCAAGACGAAATACAGTACTGTCTCTTTGTTAGTTATTAATGTTCACCCCTTTCAATGAGTTCTTTATTCTGCTGGGCAGTGGTCACCCTAATCCAATGGAACTGATTTAACAACACTTAAATCTGATCGCCGGTATTGTCAGCAGCAAGCAATTTTTGAACAATGTTTTTTGTTGTTGCTTATAACAATACGTTTACCGCATTTAAGATTGTAATACCTCCAATAAGCTTGTAGATTTAGATATTTAAATCGTCACCACCGTAATAGATGCCTGTTTAATCGTTACTATGGTATTTATTATGATAGTAGAAAATGTCTGAACGTGGAAATCCCTTGAATTTATCTCCATTGATAATTTATAGGAGCCTTGTACCCTAAAAGGTTGTTTAAATTGTGCTACTGTTAATATTCTATATCCCTCCAGACTTAACCAAAAAATATTGTATTATAAATAGATTATTCTACTAGGTATGTCCAGTGTATGCATACCATACGTTATAAATATTATAGTGATTTACCCTTTCGTATAAGAAACCGTTGTAGTCTGAAATATATAAATAATACTTATTAACAAAACCCTGCAGTTGTTAAATTCAACCTTGAACAACTGACCAATCAGAACAAGTCCAGAAATACACGCACATCACACTGTGGGGGCTTTGCAACAATATCCAAGGGGCGGGGTAATTTATTTGTTCGTCTTCCTTATTTATTTTTTTGATTTTGTATATTTATTTATATCCACTTTTGTAAGCCAGTCACCATTGCTCTTTTTATGATTTATGTATTTTTCATTTTCTAAAATGTTCTTGGAACCACTATGTCATATAAAATTGATAAATGCATTGTTAT